GGGGCGGAGCCCGGCGGGTGAGGAGTTCGCTCCGTGGGGACCCACGGGCACAGGTCACCGCCCAAAGAAACAACCGAAAACTAAAAGCCCATCCATCCCGGCCCGGGGGCTGCCGGAACTGCTGCCTGGGAAAGCTCATTGCACCAGGAGCAGAGTTACCAAACCGTAAGAGGTTTCATTCCAAACTGTTAAAGCAGAAAATCCGCGGCCAAGATAATAAAGAGGGGCTAAAATAACAAAGGTTAAACAATATTTAGACTTCTGAGTGGGCAGAGCAGAGAGGGAAGAGAGAAAAACAACGGAACGTGCTGTAGCAGTGTCACTGAACTAACCACAGCTTCGTGAGAGCAGGTCTGTGAAATGGTTAATGCCCTCAGCTCTGTAAAGATGGGTTTGGTTTTTTATCTAATGGTACTTTGATCTGTTGATTTCAGACTGTGATCTAAGCAAAGCCGTCTGCTGTGTAAAGCAGGTCGGGGCTCTGCCTGTTCCTCCCGCGCAGGGACAGTTAACTCAGAGAGGCCCCTAGTGGAAATGCTTCTTTTACTGCTCAAATAACTGTTCACCTGGATGTCTGTGTGTTGGTGAGTTGGCATCTCTGCAGCCCTGAGCCTTCTTTTGTCGCTTCTACAATCTTCCAAAATACAAACAAATGATAGTTAACTCTAGTTTAAGTAGCAGTTAACTGCCAAAACTTATTCCCATCAGTCCACGTGTTTTCTCTGACACCGAGGAAATGCACCAAATGGTTTCATTTACCAGCCTGTAGTCTGAATTATTAGTTTATCCACTGTTCATTTTTATCTTAGTGGGAACTATCAATAGGGTTTCAAAGTGGGTCTTTGAATCTCAATGTGTGCCATATTTCCTCTGCTTAAAATGGAGAACGTTATGTAAGACATGTCTGCAAACATAGTTCCTTCAGGGCAACTAGACTTTGATCTCCCTGTCACATCAATTAGACAACTCCAGCTCCTTGAGTTGCTGGGGTGGGAGATAAAAGGTAGTGCAGTTCTTCAGAACTGTGATTTGAGGGCTTGCGTGGTTTATTGTTAATTTTTCTTAGCACAACTTACTGAGGACAAAGGATCAGGAACATTTTCAGTGCTTAAAGGAAATCTCAGTGATATTTTTACATCTTGCAGGGATATTTTGTGGTCAATCATTTAGTACTGATCCTGTCATTTTGAGTTGGTTTGTATTTTCTTATATTACAAGACTGCTGTAAACACCCAGAGTGTTGGTTTCCAAATTTACTGTCTCCTTCACTGTTTCACTGTACTATTGAGTGTGACAGTAACTTTGAAGCCTGTACTCATTTAAGCCTGTATATCTGCACATTTCCAGCAGGTGGCAAGATATTCCTAGGCAACTGTCTGGGAAAGACAGTTGTATATACAATGCTCGTCAGTGCTAGTTCTTTATTTTAATGCTACAGGCTGTTAAGAACTCTTCTTTAAAAATTAGTTTAAAGGGGGAAAAAATATTTGGGGTTAATTATGGAATTAATCTAAAGTACTCCTTCAGGCACCAGATATTAGTATTAATGTCTATTTAACTCACTCCAGTGCAAGGTTGTTTCCTTTTTTAAAATTCTAAAAAACATTTGCTACTTAATGGGTTTGGAAACCCTCAGACTACACAGTAAAACCACCTTAGTGCCTCTAACAAGAATGTTGTAAATTTCCTTACCTCCTTTTTTAGCTGGTGTCTTGAAAGAAACTAGTTGTGGTTGCATAGGAAAATGGAGTTGTAGGGATATATGTTCCTTGCTGTCTTGGGCCATTATTCAGAGAACAACTTGTCCTGCATGCTTAAAAAAATGAAGCACCTAAATACCTTACTGAATCCACAGAATGAAACCAAAATAATTTCTTCCAGGCTTCAAATGAAGGAAGTAGTGTCTTTTAACCTTTTCAGTCAAAGGAATAATATTCTAAAATCCCTCAGAGCATTTTCTCTACGTGCACTGCTCAAAAGGAGCAACTGTCAACCGTAATTTTAAGCGCTATAGCCAGGAGGAAATGAGAGTATTTCTGGACTGGAAAGTGACCCAGCTTGGTCAATACTGAAAAACTAATTTGATATCACAGATATAGTACTTGTAACTAGTTTTTTGGCATA